GGAAGCCACCCAGTAGTTTCCTTAGCCTGGCTGAGGCTCCGAGGAGGAGGAGAAGGAGGCGCACGAGCCCTCGTCACCAGCCATGACTCCCTCCAGCTCCTTCTTCACTACTACCACCATCACCAGCAGCAGCAGCATGAAGAAGCGGAGAAAGGAGGGAGTGCTGGCAGCCGTCTAGCTGGGGGAGGGCACGACATAAAATTTAAAATGGTCTGCCAAAAAAGAGGTTGGCCGGGGTGATGCACCAAATTAACTGAGAGGCATGTTTGGGAGTGACCTGCAGAAGCATTGTGGGTGGGTCGAGAAGAGGGTCGAATAGGGAGAGTTACCATGATTGTAGCGAGTGCATTTTTAGTCGAGCATGCTGGATAACGGATGTGGTGGAGGCAATGAGGCCAAGGAGGCGTTGTACTTGATGAGCTGTGATGAGCACATGAGGCTAGAAGTGGTTGACAAGAGTATGTATCTTGATTGCATGTTCTTGGACGAGATAGGCCCTCGCATGACATAAATCCAGCACAGCGCCTATGTAAGTAACCCTTTGAGAGGGAGCTAGTACTGATTTGGTGATGTTGAGTTTGCGGCCCAGATCTGCTAGTAAAGAGAGGGCGAGAGCAATGTCCTTCAGAACTTGAGCATGACTGAGTAACCAGTCGTCCATGTACAGAAACACTGAGATTCCTAGAATGTGTAGGTATACTCCTATGAGAGCCCTTCATTTAATAAATACGGCGCGGCAGAAAGGCTGAACAGAAGGCATTGAATTCGTAGGTAGTGTGACTTAGGGAGAAGTGCAGAAATCTGTGGTGAACTTGTCTGATGGTAATATGGAAGTATGTATCGCTCAGGTCGATGACAGAGAACCAGTCTCCCTTTTGCAGAAGAGGAAGGATGGGTCTACGGGCCATTCTTGAGGTCAAGAATGGACCGTAGACCGCCGTCTCATTTCAGGATGAGGAAATAACAAGAGAAGAACCCTGGGTTGGAGGCACCTGGCCTGATTATTGAAATGGCTTCTTTCGAAAGGAGAGATTGAATCTCTAGCTTGATGGCGGGGTTAGGACAGTCCGCGGTGGGGGAAAGGAAATGACTCTAGTGCGTATCCAGTAGATATGATTGATAGAACCCATGAATTGGTGGTCATACATGCCCAAGATTGAAAATGGCCCACTAGGTGGGTGGTGGGAGGAGTGGATAGGGTACAAATATGGACGGCAAGTGAGTAAAAGATTCTGTTTGTTCTTTTTATCAGGATGCCTGAAAGATTGGCAAGGATGCTGACGCTGAGTGTGTGGACGTGGTTGGAATGTGGAGGACGAGTGAGGTAAGTAACATTGTTTTTCCGGGAAGGACTTGCATTAGTGGAAATGATATGGATGATGCCACTGGTATCTCTGAGGGTGATAATACAACTATTATATGAGTGTGCTGTCTTTCTCATCTTTTGTAGGTTGTCAAGAATTTCATCCGTTTTCCCATCAAATAGGCCCACACCATCAAAGGGTAAGTCCTCAATGTGCATTCTAGAGTCCTCTGATATTAAGAGTGTAGCATAGCCAGGCATGTCTGTGTAGAGCCATGGCTGTGGCCATATTTCTGAAGGCTGCTTCTATTATATGGCGTGCAATGATGCGTTCTTGTGTCGCCAATGCCATAGCCTCCTGATGATAGGCGAGACCATGAGGCTTGTACTCCCCAGATGCTGACTGTAGTGACGGTAGGACCGTGTTCCAGAGGAACCTATGGTAGGCTTCCATTGCTGCTAAATAGTTGGCAGGATGTAAGGTGAAAGATGCTAGAGAATAAACCTATGGCTGATAATGTCCAACTTTCTGCCCTCCATTGTTTGCAGCGTTTTTTTGTAGAGATTCTCAACTCTCCGAGACATCTGAGACACTGAAGATGGTTTAGACCAAGACTGCTTAATCAGTTTGAGCAGCGATGGAATGAAACCCATCCAAAGTGGGACTGTCTGATCCTCATCAATATCCTCACACACCTTATCAGATCCCGAATGATTTGGCTGTCGGACCTCAAGATCCATGGCTTTGGCAATGCAGAGAATCAATTGTAAGAGAAATCTTCTGATGGAAATTGTGGATTGGTATCAGCCACATTGGAATCAAGAGTCAGAAGATTGGGGGGTGATTCTAGTGGTGTTATCGAATCCAAGGAAACAGAATCTAAAGATTGTGCAGGTGAAAGTGAAGAACATTGTTGATACGAAAAAGGGTCGATGTAGCAGGAAGAGCGTCTGGCCAGTGTTGTTTAGGAGCCACGGTATTGCTTTTGCAAGGTATTGATCGAGTTGAGCGATCCAACTTATTATGCTTTTGAGGTTTCTTAGGGTCTACGGAGAGCCACGGTATTACTTTTGCGAGGTATTGATCGAGTTGAGTGATCCAACTTATGCTTTTGAGGTTTCTTAGGGTCTGTGAGACTGGGTGTCGCGTCCACCCAGTTTCCTTTGGTTTATTTTCCCAGACCGGGTGTCGCTTCCACCCAGTTTCCTTTGGTTTATTTTCCCAAAACCACCAAGTCCACCCTCTGGATGAGTTTCCTCACTTCACGCTGCCACCAGGTATTATGCCCTCAATACCAAATAGATCTTAGACACATGATGCCAATATAACAGTTATCGATCTTATAGTTGTTATGTAAATCATAGGAGAGAATCACAGGTGTTTAGGATTATTCATTATGATCATTTGCTTTCACGTTGGTTTGTATGTGTTTTCACTTTTACAATATTCTTTGACAATCTATTTCTTCTCTATAATTTAGACTCTCCTCTCTAACTCACTAACTGTCCTCCTGGTTCTGCCTCCACTGTCCTCTCATAGGCTCCTGCCCTTGAGCTCCCCAGATGGACAGGTGTGACTTGGGGGTTCTGCCACACCAGGCAAAGGGCCAGTATAAGTTGTGGTGACCTGCAGGGGTGATGAATGGACTTGAGAAAGAGTAGCCGTATTATCCGTCGGTATGGAGGGCTTGGTCAGCGTTGGCTTCTTCGGTACCGAGGTTACCGGAACTGGAGTTGCTCAAGAGTGCCATTTATGAAGTTTTTTATGGAGCTTCGGTACCGGAGGGGGAGGAACGTCCTCATACTCTGAGGTCTGGTCGTAATAGTAGCCAGACTGTTACCGAGGAGGTGAGGGGGACTCTGAAGAATCCGAAGGCTAGTAGTATGCGTACTGAAGCTGACTCAGACTCACACCCAGACACAGAGCAACCCAGTGATTTGGGGCTCGAACAGGCTGAATAAGGCAGTACAGTCACCTCAGTCGAGGTGTCCGTCCAGGAGGGAGATTGAGCCAACAGAGAATGCGGTTGTATGGATGGAAGTGGAATGGTTTCATGGTCAGTGTCAAGATCCATAGGTGGTTGATTCTGCATGGGAGGGTGGCTGAGCGTCGATGGAAGACTTACTTGGTTTCTTTGATTTGGCATCGGCTGGTTTTGGAGTGGATTTCAGTGTCAAAGTCGATTGAGATGCCGATCCCGAGGACTTAGGCATTTTTGGCTTAGATGTAGGTGTTGGCAACAGAGAGTTGGTAGCAGAAGGGACCATTGGTGGTTGTGAACCCTGTGTCTCATCCATCTTAGATGGGGGATGAAGAGACAGCTCCCACAAGAAAGATTTAAAGCAGTGTTGGCGGAGTATGACGACTTGTTCAGTAAATTTTTTAGAATGGGAGCAGGAGGCCGGTTGATGTGATTCTCCCAGACAAAACAGGCAAGAACCATGCTCGTCAGACACAGGCAACTTATTTATGCACAAAGTGCACCTCTTAAATGGCCCTGTCTCTTAAACGGCCCTGCGGGGGCCATAAATGGCGGGAACAGAAAGGAAAGGGGGGGGAGAATAGTGGAAGGAAAGGGAAAAAAATAAAAATAAAATCCAAATCTCACAAAAGAATAATGAAGAGAATCTATTCTAAATAACGATAGGATTATTATGTTTCTTCAGGAAAAAGAACCAGATTGCGCGAACAGAGAGCTCAACAGAAAATGAGACTTCAGCGATGGCAAAAAGGAACTGGGGTAATCGCCAGGACGGGTGGACCTCATGTGTTAAGTGGGCGGTTCCTGGTGAACGCATGTTTGATCTCTAGAATATTCTGGAGACCTCTGCGCAGGCGCAGATTAAACCCATTAGTGTGCATTCACAGAGACCACGAAAAAGAACATTATATTATGATAATGATGAAAACAAAATTTGAGTAACAAAAAATTTCTGGCTAGAGTCTGAAGAGGCCTTTCTACTTCCTAAAAATGAAAGATGTTAGGATGGTGGGGAATATCTGGTCTTGGTGACAAATTGTGTCCTCTCGGGTTTTCCAAAGAGCCACACTCCGTTCCCCAGAACACTCTGGCTCTTGCTCTGAAGCAATTTTCCACTCTTGTCTTGGGAGACACATGAAAAGGAATTCCCTCCATTACCAATATGATAAGTAGCATCAAATATGAAATTTAGGACAAGTCTCTTAAAAAGATGATGGGAGGCAACATGAGATCATGACACCCATGCTGATATCCCAGAAACTATCCTAATGAAAATAAGCAGAGGCAGGCTTTTTCTACAATGTAAAAAAGTCAAACTGGGTAATGGTTACAGGATACTGATGCATCATCACATGAGAACAATTTATTAAATTACTGAAAAGCATCTGTGGTGACCCACTGTCAGACTTCAGAGCATTTAAAATGGATGGTTAAGTAAATCCAGTCAACAATGCCCTGGCACCTGCAACTGCATGGTTCTGCTGTGCTTTGATACTATTTTGCACAGATAGTGGTGGCTTATTTCTCAAAATGGGAGAAAGAACAATAAAAAAGTGGAAAGATGAGATGCTATGTTTTCAATAGACATTGCTTCTTGTCCAAATATCTAGAGACTTGTCCTAGAAGAGTTTCTCTTATTTCATTCCTGAATCCACATTGAGTATTCTCAGTTTGTGGAAACATCACCATGGAAAAGGACTGACAACCATATCCTCTGAGAGACAGGGAAAAAGATATTCCCTCTTTTAATGCTCATTACTTACTGAGATTAATAGAACACGGAAAATATAATGAAAATATCAATAATTCTAACAACCCTAACTAAAAATATCCATTTTCTGCACTATATTTTAACTACCACATATCATTCAATAATAGATTCTCCAATAATTTATTTCATATACAATATTTTAAAAATATGACTACATTGATTAAAATGTCACAGTTCCTCAGAAATCTGAGACCAAATCATAGTAAAAATACCATTGTATTAGATCCCAACTCCTTATTACCAAAAATAAAAGAAAGTAGAAAATAATAGATCAGCGTATCAAACGATGAAATGTCTTCTAGTCCCAACAGGTTACAGTAGGCACTGCAGATGTCATGCAAAAGGCTTTCCAGGTCACATGCCTGCAATACTCTGTGATTAATCCTAGTTTTCATCAGTTCCTATGTAAGTGGTAGCCATCCAGGGCCCAGTCTTGCACTTCTCCACTACTGAATATCGCAAAGAAAACAGCTCCAAATAAATTAATGGTAGCAGCAATGTAGAACACAATCTGCCACTCGCCCACAGTGTTCTGGCAAAAGAAAAAAGATGAATAAGTATCACAGTTTCATATTAAAAAATGAACATCATGAAGACGCTCTCCATTAATGACTTTTCCCCTTCACCTTCTTATATCTATTTTCCCTGTGCCTATTAAAAATGAAGTGACTTTTTTTACTATAAATTCCACAGTACCTCAGCCAAGATGCCCAGTTTAGACATCATATTCCTGATTTTGTTGGTTATGAATGATTAGTGAGCACAAGCTATCCTGTTGTGTAAGCCTGCTGAAGCCACTGTTTGCCTGTTTTGATTGTCAAAGTTGGAAGCAATTTAGAAACGACTACTGCTTAAGAAAAAAAAAGAGACAAATATATATACACAGTGAGGGGAGTTGCAGCTTGTTTCTGATCCTCCAAAGTATTGTTTGGAAAACAAGGAAAGGAGTGTCTAAATGTATATGATGCATTTATTTTGTTCACAAGAAACAAGTGTGGAAAATGGAAAATACAGTGGTGCCCTGCATAGCGATCATAATTCGTTCCAGGAAAATTATGCTATCCGGAATCATCGCTATACGGAAAGAAAAACCCCATAGGAACGCACTAAACTCCGTTTAATGCGTTCCTATGGGGGGGGAACCGCTATGTGGAAATCCTCCATACGGCCACCATTTTCGCTGCCCGGTATGTGAGGAAATCGCGCAAAAACACAGCAGGCGGCCAATTTTTTCGGCGGCCATTTTGGAACTGCATATCAGCTGTTTAAAAAAACACTGCAATGCGAAAATCGGTAAGCAAAACGCTTACCGATCATCGCAATGCGATGTTTAGCCAATTTAGAACATCACAATGCGATTGCTTTCACGATCGCAAAATCCACATCGCTATGCGATCGCATTGCGATATTCCCTATGGGGTAATGCAATCGCTTTCACGATCGCAAAATCCACATCACTATGCGATCGCATTGCGATATTCTCTATGGGGAAAAATCGCTTTGCGATTTTTCTCCATTGGCCCATTTTCGCGCAGCTGATCGGTGGGGCTTTGGGATGATGGGAGAAAGCGCTTCCCCCCATCATCCCGAAGACCCGCTGATCAGCTGGGCGAAAATGCCAGCTTTGGGATGATGGGGGAAAGCGCTCCCCCCATCTTCCCGAAGCCCGCATTTTCGCCCAGCTGACTGGTGGGGCTTCGGGATGATGGGGGGGAAGCCCTTCCCCCATCATCCTGAATCCTGCTGATCAGCTGTGCGAAAATGCCAGCTTTGGGATGATGGGGGAAGGGCTTCCCCATCACCCTGAAGCCCCGCCGATCAGCTGGGCGAAAATGCCGGTGGGGGCTTTGGGAGGACGGGGGAGTGCTCCCCCGTGGTCCTCCAAATGGCCCCATTTTCGCACAGCTGATCGGCGGTTCCAAAATGGCCACCCGCTGTTTTGCCTCGCTTTAAAGGCACCGAAAATGGCCGCCCCTATGGAGGATTTTCGCATAAGGTGAGTTTTTAAGCTCATAGGAACGCATTAAACACGTTTTAATGCAATCCTATGGGCTTTTTTGTTTTGCATAGCAACAAATCCGGATAGCGACGATTTTTCCAGAACGGATTATCGTCGCTATGCGGGGCACCACTGTATACTAAAGATGCTTGTCATGAAGGGGTTGAATAATTTTGAGATTGCATACCTACCATACTTTGGACCATCCTTTCGACTCAGCCATATTTCTAACGTGCAATCAAATGTGACACTCGCCAACCCCCGAGCCAGTTCGGATATTTCATGCGTTCCAGCTGAAGCACACTTAGTGCAGCAGGCGTGCTTGAGACGCCTGTTTTGCATATTTGTGTTGTTGTGAGGGATTCTATTCAGGAGGCTGAATAATTTTGAGACTGCAGAATTCATTAAAAGCGGCATTTTTCAGTTGAATTTGGGGGAAACTACTTGAAGCATTTGCTGTGTTGAGCTATTCCAATTGCTTTTGTTTGATTTGTTCATTGCAAACAGGTGAAAGCCTGAAATATTTGCAATGGGGGGTTTGAATAATTTTGATTAAAACTGTATGTGATTGGGGCAACGGCAATCTGTCTGCCAAGAAGTAAAAATGCACTTATTTGAGTTCCTTTTCAAATGTAATGTTCTCAGCTCTGCATACAAATGGGGAAGCATTTTTGTGAATGTATGAAAATGTAAAACAGATCTGCATATACAGTCATGTGAAAAAGAAAAGTACATCCTCTTTGAATATTACGGTTCTTTGAATGGATCTCTGTGTATTATTCACATGAGTGTTTTGCAGCTGCACAGACAATTCTTCAGAATGTTCCAGAGCCTCAGCCTCGCGTTTCCAGGGTATATAACGTGAGCCCCGCCTTTGCAAGTTAGTCCCTGATGTGTCCACCACAAAGATACAGTGGTGCCTCGCATAGCGAGGTTAATCCGGAAGCATCGCTTAACGGGGCAGCGATTTCCATTGTTTAATGCGTTCCAAATAGGCCAAATACTCACCGTTCAGTGAAGCTTCAGGATGGCCGGCGCCACAAAGATATAGAGAAAGATGGTAGAACAGCAGGAGGAAGGTGAGATGTGTGAATACAGTCAAAGAACTGATGTTACAGGTGAGTAACCTACCGGTCTTCGCAAAGCGAATTTTTCCCCATTACAAAAACGTTCAGCGATCGCATTAGCGATCCAAAAAAACGGATCGCTATGTGATTTCATCGTTATACGGTGCGCTCGTTAAGCGAGGCACCACTGTATAGAGAAAGATGGTGGAACAGCAGAAGGGAGGAAGGTGAGATGTGTGAATACACTCAAAGAACTGATGTTACAGGTGAGTAACCTGTTCTTCTTTTTCATGGCCTCTATGTATTCACACGAGGATTAGCAAGCTTCGTTTCGGTGGAGGGAGTCACGCAAGTATAGCAGATAAGACAGACCTGCCACAGGAGGCATCTTTCTGTGCTTGCAAATCCAGTCTATAGTGCATGGCGAAGGAAAGAAGTTGGGACTAGGTGGCTAGCTTGCATATTGTCTGAATATCAACACCACATGCAAAAGCTGTAGAGGATGCAATGGGAACATGTGGAATAGTCCCATATGTATGTGGTGGAAATTCCACTTTGGCTGTGGCATAAACAAGTGTGACAGCATCAACCACCCAGTGAGATAGATGTTGGGAGGAAACTGGATGACTTTTGTTTTTTAGACCATGGTAACAAACAAACAGCCTTGGTGTTGTTCTGAAGCCCTTGATATGGGAAAACTAAAATGTCAATGCTCTCCTGACGTCTAAGATGTGCACTCTCTTCTCCAGGTTTGTCGTCAGAGAAGGACAGAAGGTAGGGAGGATCAGCAGCTGATATGTGGATGGAGGAAACGAACTTGGGCAAGAGAGAAACATCAATATATATGGTAACCTTGTCTAGATGGAGCTGGATGTACAGAGGGGTCACACTGGAAGGCTGTAAGTTCACCTGCCTGTCGGACCGACATAATGGCCAGTAGAAAGGCTACCTTGAGAATGAGAAGTCTCAAGTCAATTGTACCTACAGGTTCAAATGGCGGAGATGTAAGCTGGGTAAGCAACAAGGAGAGAGACCAGGAAGGCTGTGGAGCTTTCACATCAGGCAAGGCATTTCTCAGTCCTTTTAGGAACTTTTTCATGGTTGGGCCTGTAAAAAGACTCAAGGAGGGATGGCCTGATGGCTGGTAGGCCACTATTGCAGCCAAGTAGACTTTCAGAGACGAGAGTGAGAGTCCAGAATGTTTAACATTTAGCAGGAATTTCAAGATGGTAGCCAGAGATGAAGGGGTGGTCGGGGCCCCAACAGAAGATGCAAATGCAAGGAACTTGTCCCATTGATAGGCATACAGCCTGTCGGTGGACAGCTTTCTAGCCTGGGCCAAAATGTTCGTTATCATGGCATAATCCTCTAGGCTGACAGCCTGAGGTGCTGACTGTCCACGTGCTGATTCGAGCAGTTGTGGGAAGTACAAAGGTTGTGGCAGAGGAGGAGGCACCACCTACTGACAGACAATAAAACCATGGCTGCCTTGGCCACCATGGAGTTAGTAAAATTATATTGGAATTGTTTTGTTGTATTTTGACTGGTGCATTGGATCAGAAAGAAAGGTGGAAACGTGTACGTGGAGGAGCGTATCCAGAGGACAGTGAAAGCATCACCCATGGTGTTTGGTATGATATCATTGCCGAAAGGTAGACTCTCAGAAGAAGTTGTGTGTTGATCACACGCATCTGTAGAATGGAACGCAAGAGTGAGCACTTTTGTCATGATCGGCTCCAGGGCGTTTCTTTTGTTTTACAGTTGGCACATCAGGCTTCATTTCTGAAGGTCTCAGTTTCGAGCAAGCCTTGGATGTCGAAGGCTGGGCAGCAGTCTCAGAAGGGGGAGGTAGCTGTTTCTCCAACCCTACCATGGGAGGCTTCTGTGCTGTATATGGCAATGCTGAAGAGGTCAGGGATCGTTCCCAAAGGTGGGATCATAGCCTGGACTGACTATTTTTTTAGGTATAATTTAATAAAACTCCTGCAAGTCGAACAGGACTGGAGAAGACACCCTTGATATGGCTGTCTGACTGGGGAATGTTAGAACCACAGCCAGAACAAAGTTTCATCAAGGACGAAGAGGCCATAAAAGTGAAAATAACCCTGTGGGGGAGAGAAGAAAAAATAAGGGGGGGTGGATGGGGAGGGAAAATAGGAACACAGATGTAAATGTCTCCTTTTCTTGCCTGCTAACAACTATAAGAAGTAAGGAACGTGAAGGAAGGGGAAAATGTGAGAATAGTAGAGAGGCTCCAGAACAAGCTGAGGATGTTCTTTTCTCGCCGCGGACACATAAGGGACTAACGTGGAAAGACAGGGCTCACATTATATACCTGGGGAACATGAGGCTGAGGCTCCGAAACATTCCAAAGGAAACATTCCAACGGAACACCTGTTGTGTGAATACATAGAAGCCATGAAAAAGATGTCACTTTTCCAAGGTGACAATTGGATCTTGGCCATT